ACCAGTGCTTCTTGCATTCAAATTCTCTTCTTGTCTTCTTCTTAATCGTTTAGAATACTCCTTCAGAGAGAGCGTCTCCTTGCAATATCGAGGATAGCCAGGCTGAGGGGTTCCATGGACGTTCGTTGTTAACTGCCGGAGATTGTTGGGTCGAGGGGGAGGGGGATAGATCGCCACAACGCCGTGCCTCGACAGGCATCACAACCAGTCAGTCACGATTCCCGCATTCCCTGTATAGTATCAATAATATACCTCTGCGAACGAGAGCATGATCGATATCGTCTATGGCGCGCGATCTACATTCTTCAACAAAGATTTTTTTGTTTCGGAAAAAACTTTAGGAATCTTTGTATCACTTTGATGGAACATGATTTTCCCTACAAAATGGTATACCTTTTGTGCAAATATAACTCCTACGTGCAAAGAAAACTTCAGATGTGAATACATTTTTATTGTCGCTCTCACAAAGCGCTATGAAAACCTCTTCGAGGACCAGTTCAAGCATCGAATTCTCCGAGGTTTGGGTTATCGAATGAGCCTAATGTAGTCCAATAAAAAGCAATCCACAGACTTTAGTTGAGCAATAAGGCAAGCCGAGTGTGAAACATAATCTATTTTCGCTGCTACAGCGTAGTACAACGGCGTTTTTGGAAACCAAGCAATGATTTGCAATCCCCGGGATTTAAACTTTCAAAAAACTATTCAAATTCTAAATAAAAAGCTTTGTTCAGCAAAAAAAAAGAGCTCTGAAAATTTGGGGATCAAAATGACCCTCGTCGTCCGCAAAAGGATACTATATAGTTTTGCCTAGTGCTCTTTCTCTTGGTACAAGCTACACTAGCGGTAGTAGAATGTCTACAGGTGTTTTCTCGATTTCCTCGATTTTCTCGATGTTTTCTCGATTTCCCGAAAATTCTCTTGATTTGACCCTTTGAGGGCCAGCACTTAGGCAGGGGACATCGTGCTATCTCTCGCGCGGCGGTCAGACAAGCGGCTCTGCATGTCTGCGCATGCATGTTCGGCTGCCTGCCTGCTTTCCCACGAGACACGACGCCGCCATCACAGTAGCTGTGTGAGATTTGACGTCGCGCGGTGAGCATTAAAAGGACTCCCATGGTTCTCAAAGGGATGATAGGAGTCGCCTCGGAAATCGAGTGAAATAAAGAAAGAATTAAAAGTTCAAAGAAATTTTGCTGGAGCCGGTTTGGTGTAGTCGCTGTTGAGACTTTGGGGAAAAAGCTGATGCCTTCATGCACCTTGTGAACTCACAAAAATCAGAGCATAAAGTGATAAATAAGTGCCGATACCGAATGAAATCATTCAAAATACGGGTTCTAACGGGGGCTGACGGACGACGGGACGCGCTCGAAGGCAGAGATGAACGCAAAGATCATCAACTCCCCCCCCCCCCCCCCCCTCTCCCGCTCCCCCTCCCCCCGCCAGAGCCCCAAGGTCCAAAGCATCTCTGGAATCAATCTGCTCGACCAAAAATTCTCTCGAGTCTTCGTTTTCCGCGGAAAATACTTCGAGGGAGGAGGGAGGGAGGGAAGGAGGGAGAAAACTCTCGGATACCAGAGCGATCTGAAAAAATCGAAGCTTCCTCCATTCACTTACAAACGTCCTATTTCGTCTAATACAACCTCTATCAGACAAGGAGCAACCGAGGAAACCTTAAAGTATTCGAAGAAAATTTCTCGCTGCTGTAGTTCAAAAAACTAAAAAATAAAAGTAACCTAGTGAATCGATGAAAGAGCGATCTCTTCCTTGAGAGGTTTCGTACTCTAATATGAAAGGTAATTTTAGAAATAAAGAAACAGCAGGAAAAAGTTTACGATTGCGGCTTGAATTTGTCGGGTTTGACGGGGTTAGCAAACCCTTCGGAGTGATAATTCTCCCTCTTGATCAAGCCAACAGCGTTCCGACGTCTTCGTCTTCTTCAAACCGATAATTCGAGTCAAGAAACCCTAAGAGAATCAGAGAAATCGTCCCTCAGTAACTGAACGGCGGACGGAGCCGATGAGAACGATGGCCGGCGACGTGACACCGAATGTCCCGCCCCATTTTTCTGGGAAAAATATTAATAAAAATAAAAAATACTAGAAAAAAAGTAAAAAAAAGGGACCAAAGTAAACAATAAACACTTGAAAATTTTCGGTTGACGACGGTCGACGACGCTACACGCCTCGATGTTGATCCGTCGCCAATTCAGTGGACAAAGGGCCATCGCGTCGGGACCACCATTGCCTGACGCACACAAGTTCCTTTGATTGCTGGCTGAAGTCTGACGGGGGAATTTACCAGTTTTGGCCTCTTATCGATCGCCCGTGGCCTGCTCTACACGTCAATCAATAAAGGTGTGGAACTTTCGGCCCTGGACAATCCTCTGGAAAAGGCGGCTTGACTTCGCAGTTTCCCCAAGAATCGTAGAGGTCGCTGAATCTACTAAGGCATCCGCGTCACTGCTGCTGTCCACCTAAACAATTCTGGTAACGATCCGTAGACCCCGAGGGAATGGATGGTCCGATGAGCGTAAGGCAAGAGAGCGAGCCAACGACCTTGTGTATGTTGCACAACACCTTTCATCAGTGCGCCAGACGCGCCATCTCACGCGAACCTGTACTTCGAGTATTGTATCTGGACGAATACATTATTGAGTTTCAAAATTCCTGGTAGGTTATTTTTGAGCCATGCATGTATTCTGAATCGCACGGTGCCCTATGGTTCAGTCAGTCACGCGGGGACAGACCACATGCATGGCTCAAAAAATGACTGTCAGGCATTTAGATTCGACATTCGAGTGTGGTCTAAAGAAGCACTAGGAACGAAAGGTATTTTACTTCATTTACATATATATATATATATATAGTGTATAAGTTGTCCTGTTTTCTAACTCGATACGATGGGAAGCGACCGCGAGTCTTTATAAAGGCCAGATATGCATTCAGTCACCTCAAACGAAGCTGGAAATTGAAGAAGAATACATGGCCATTCCTTGGGGATTGATCAACGCCGAGAACTTTATTCTTTCTAAAAGTTCAGGCTATCACTATCAGGCATATTTTACGATTACCAGCCAAGAGCAGTCGAATGTGCAACTGCCCCGGTGATTTTATCACTTGACGGTTTTTGCAAAACGTTCGTCGTCTACTCCTCTACGTGAATGAGTCCTCCACCGAGAGGGACGAGCTCAGACGAAAAGCACCGTGAAAGTGACGAGACGGAAAGGCCGAACACTTGTAATTGCACTGTATAAGTGCCTGAAGATAATTTATCAGGCATGCTGAAATTTGAGCATGGGCTAAAGAATTTTGCCCCAAAAGGATACGTGAAAAGTCACCGATATATTGTTTTCTGAATGGAATAGCCTTCGCAACATAGAGATCGTCCTTATAGAAATAATTAGGATGAGCTCTCTGAAGCAAGCAGAGGGTCAATTAGTAAGGATTTCATAGTCCCAATCAAGTAACCGTTATTCGCTCCCTCTATTGACGTCGAGTTCATTCAGAGGAAAGGCTCTCAGCTACGACATCGATCTTGGATGTCACATAATCTGCTAAGACCAACCTCTAAGAGCAACCTGTGACTTATGTGATGTAGAAGATCGGAGAGTCAAAAAAATCATTCTCATCCATCTTTCTCTGTGAAAATTTTTTGAACATGTGTTTTCTAAGCACTTTAATTCCTGAGGTTTGAGGGGCTCAAAAGCTCTTAATTTGGTCAAGGTCACCAAATCATATTTCTTCTCCTCAGTAAGACTGCGAACTTGCAGTGGTAATGGCAATGAGCAGCGTACGAATTGAAGCCATGGGGCACTGAAAGTGAAACGGCAGAAATACATAGAATTCCTTTTTTATTCAACCACTTCTAACGGTGGTATGATGTTAGAAATATACCCACTGATGGAGGTTGAATAGAACAAAATTCTGTTTGATCGTCCAGTATCCAATATCTGTCAGCGTGACACGGTTCCATACTGACACCGACTACGAGAGCCAAAATCGCTAACGGTTGTTGCTGACAAATAGATGAATTGTAGCGTAGAAAGAGTGATAGGCGAAATGGGCTTGACTATTGCAGTGGGTTAGAGCATCGTGAACAATTGGTTGCTGACAGACAGATGTTTTGTGGTGTAGAAAGAGTGGTAGGCAAAACGGGTGTTACTAGTGCAAACGGTCAGAGCACGCTTTCCCGGATAGAATGAGATGTGGGTTCCAGTCCCTGCTGACGCGAAAGTTTTACACATGACTCTATATCAAAAATTTATTCCAATCGTCTGTTTTGGTCCTCGCTGTAAACATTCAATATAGTTTGTTAGAATGTTCAAAGCCTTTTTGAAGGTTGGTACGTCAGCGGCCTGAGTACACCTTGGTGGCATAGCCCGCTTCATCAGATTCACACGCTCAACAGTGAACCCTACTTCCTGACGGGTATGGGGAGACGCTCTGGCGATGATAGCAGATAGTTCCGTGTTATAAAGTTTTCCTGCAGTCGGTGCTTTACGCTCATAGTGAATATCGAGAAGCCTTTAGACATTCTCACGGATTATGTTGAATGTTCAGAGCGAAGTTCAATTCAGTTAATTGGAATTATATTTACATATTCACTACCAGCCGTAATCCATCAATTGAAAAAAGTGGTGATACCTAAGAGAATTGAGTGGTGAGCAAAAATACGACTCAGACTAAAGTTGAACCTCTGTTTCATCCATACCAGGGACGCGTGCTACCACTGCACCACCTAGGTACATCGTCACCACCACTCAATCTTCAACATTTCCATGTTAGCTGTCAGCCACCAACCTTCAACACGTTTGATCGGGTATGCGATTTCGCTGCAATGAAAAGTGAAGTGAAAATTCTAGAAATTTCGAGTATTATCACAATGGCTGTCAGCTCAACTGGGTTTATAAAGCGAAATTGCATACCCGACCAAACCTGCTAAAGGATGGTGGCTGACAGTTTAACATAGAGATGTTGAGGAATGAGTGGTGATGCGAATATACCTCGGTGGTATAATGGTAGTACGCGTGCCCGGCATGGATGAAACGCGGATTAGAGGCCCGCCTGAGGTCGTATTTTTGCTCACCCACTCAATTCTCTTAGGTATGTATGAAACATCATATCACCTGTACCACCTGTATCACCTGTCGTCCCGTTGATCGTCGAGTGACTCGAGCGGGTAGCAGCAACTCTTCCATTTTTCCCTATCGCGTGCAAGAGTGGCCCAGTGGGTCCTCCTCGCTCTAGGGATTCGCTGAGCATCATACCTTTCTTCTATCGCTTTCGTGAAGAAATCGGACCAACGGGTCAGTGGTCTTCCTTTAGAGCGCTTGACGTCCCGAGGAATCCAGTCGGTAACGGCTCTCGTCCATCGGTTGTCGTTGAAGCGCATCACGTGTCCGGCCCACCTTATTTTCGATATCCTGGCGTGTAGAACGGCGTCTCTGATTTTCGATCGTTGACGTAGGTCGGAACTTCGGATCCTTTCTCTTATTTGCGAGATACGGGATACTCCTAGCACCGACCTTTCGACTGCGCGTTCGATAACGGCAAGTGATCTTTCATCCTGCTTACGTAGCGACCAGGTTTCTGCTGCATACGTCAGAGCAGGGATAATTGTCGAGTCGAAAAGGTGGGCACGGAGTCGGATGTTCTTTGTCCTCTTCACTACATCTTCGATGCTCTTAAACGTTCCCCAAGCCGCTCATTTTCTCCTGCTTAACTCTGGAGCTAGGTCGTTATGTTGATTTCAAGACCTAGATAGACGTAACTGAAGCATTCGGAGATTGTCGTTCCGTTGAGCGTGAATGGGGCAATAGAAACCCATCCGTTCCTCATGAACATTGTTTTCGTTAAATTCAGTTGAAGACTAATCTTTCCACAGGCGTTATCGAAATCGGTCAACATTCGTTCCGCTTGGCTGATTTTTGGTGTTATGAGAACGATATCGTCAGCAAAGCGAAGATGGTTTAATTGTTGACCGTCAATTTTCACTCCCATTTCGTCCCATTCTAATGTTCGCATGACGTTTTGTAGGGTGGCAGTGAATAGTTTTGGCGAAATTGTACCGCCTTGTCGAACCCCTCTTCTTACGGCAATGGTGATATTGTTGTAAAATGGAGATGTTCTTGTCGTGAAATCTTTATAAAACTCACGAAGGACCATTATGTGCCGAGTAGGGACGCCCTGGCTATCCAGAGCCTCTATAACCGCTTCTGTTTCCACTGAATCAAAGGCTTTCTTCAGTCGATGAAAGTGAGACAGAGTGGTTGTTTGTACTCTCGTGAAACTTCGATGAGTCTTGTAAACGTGTGGATGTGGTCCATGGTACTAAATCCTTTTCAGAACCCTGCTTGTTCGCATGGCTGTCCTTCGTCCAGTGTTCTGTCAATCCTGTTTAGGATGACTCGAGTAAAGAGTTTATAGACAACGGACAGCAAGCAGATAGGGCAATAATTGCCTATGTCGTGAAGGTCTCCCTTTTTGAACAACAATACGGTCTTGCTGGTTTTCCATTGAATAGGGACCTTGCATTCTGACAGGTAGCGAGTGAAGAGCCGAGCCAGGGTGTTGATGAGAACTGGCGGCAGATTCTTCAGATGTTCTGGTCTAATCCTGTCTGGACCGGGTGTTGTTCTGTTCTTCACCGACCATATAGCATGTCGGATTTCGGAAAGGAGGACCGGTGGGACGACATATTCGTCCTTTTTCAATTTATATGACGGTAAGAGGACATGGCTAGCGAAGAGATCCGAGTAGTATTGGTGGATGATTTTCTGCATAGCCCTTCTGGAAGCTGTAAGTGTCCCGTCAAGGTATCGGAGTGCAATCATCTTGGTCTTATAGTTGGCGAAGCCTCGCTGGGCTTTGCGAATGTTCTTCCCAGCTTCTGCAGCTTCTGCCATAACTGTTGCTCTTCTCTCTTTAAAGTCTTCTTTTATCGCTTTTCTGCAGCGTTTCGCAAGTTCGGACGTTAAGATTCGGTTGCCTGTAGCTCGTGCGATTCCACGTTGACGTATCAGCTCGAGTCTCTGCGGCGACAAGCGTCTCTTCGTGACCTTAGGACTCTCGGCTTTCATAGCGCTAACGCGAAGATATTCAAGAGTCAATCGTATTCTTCGTCGATGTTGTCGACAACGGTATCTTCCCAAGAGCCGACTAATGATTTGAATACATCCCAGTTTATGGTAGTTCTGGGACTTCGTTGTTTGAATTTAGCGGCTTTCTCTCCTCTCCTCGAAAAACGGAACGTTGCTCGAAGAAAGCGATGGTCTGATCCCGTGTCGAACTTGAGAACAACAGCGACATCGGTCACGCAAAACCTTCGATTTAGTAAGATGTGGTCTATTTCGTTATGGTACTCTACATTGGGAGACTCCCACGTCCATCGCTGAGAAAGAGGCTTTTGGAATTGCGAGTTACCATGGATGGTTTGGGTCATCATGATAAACTCAGATAGCCTCTCATCCTGTTCATTCCATTCTAGTCCGTGGGTCCCTATGTGACGTTCTTCAGACGTTCTTCTAGGTCCAATTTTTGCGTTAAAATCTCCAACAATGACCTTGAAGAATGTATGATCTTTTCTGAAGAATTTTGCGAGGTCCATATAGAACGCTTCGACTTCATCTTCGTCATAGCTTGATACGAAGATGGTCAAAGCCGGCATAGAACCACATCGTTTCAACCGTAATCGTCCAATACGGGTTGTTAGTAGTTCGAACGAATCAAGGTTCACGGTCAAATTCGATTTGACGAGGACGCCAACGCCGCCGACACCTCTGCGATCGCATGTACCAAGGAACAGTTCTTCTCCGGTGTCATAAACATCGTGAAAAGGATGACGCCTTCTCGTCTCAGCCAGGCCAATGACGTCGTACCTTATTCTTCTTGCTTGAATCAATAGATCTTCTACAGCGGATTGGTGAGCAAGGATTCTTGCGTTGTAGGTACAGATCGTCATTTTAGTCCGTTTCGATCTTGGCAGCCTAGTTCGGCCCTGAGATTTTAGCAGTCTCTCCGTACTCGTCCTACCTGGCGCTGCCGTACCAGGGGCTCTTTCGGGGTCAGGGAAATGAGACCCATATTTGTTGCTGTTTTTGGCATTTCAGTACCCAACGTATAGCTTGCCAGGCTCTAAACGTGGGGGCTGGGTACTCACGTGTAGCTTGCCAGTCTCTCTCGGAGAAGCGGGAGGAGCTTATTTGTTGGAGGCGACTCCTTACCGCCTTCCATGTACTTCCCAGCCGCTTGATTGCAGGCTTTTGGCCGACTTGACTCGCAAAAATAGAGTTTTTGTCAAGTCGGCGCTGCAGAAGCAGGGAGCTCGTCCCCTGAATCCACCTGCGTCTCTGGGAAGCACACGGTCGCTTTTGGTTCGCGTTTTATCCCCCTATCCACCACCTGAAGACGCGCCACGTGCCCTCGCGACTAACCGGGCGGGATCCCTCAAAGAGGGAGGTCCGTGGATTTTTCAGTTTTGCCTCTGACTGACAACAGTCGTGTCTGTTGTTGGGTGGATTTCTTCGTGTCTTCTTCGCTCGTCTGAACAACAAATTCTAATCGTTGTGGTATCGACGTGACATGACTGATGCGAACACAAGGAACAAGTATGTGAACAACGGTGGGTACGCTGGGTCGGTGGCCGTCGACGCCGACGGTCTCATCGAGGGCAACTATGATCAAGTTGTACCGTCATTTGATGAAATGAACCTGAAGGAGAACCTTCTTCGTGCAATACGCATTTGGTTTTGAAAAACCGTCAGCTATCCAGCATCGTGCTATTGTACCATGCTGTACACAGCTCGACGTCATTGCTCAAGCACAATCCGGTACAGGGAAAACCGCTACGTTTTCAATTTCGATTCTTCAACGAATCGATGAAAACAACTCTTGTGTACAAGCACTAGTGATGGCACCGACAAGGGAATTGGCTCAGCAGATCCAAAAAGTGATGCCTGCTCTTGGAGACTACATGAAAGTGAAGGTTCATGCCTGTATTGGTGGTACGAGCATCCGTGATGATCAACGAAAACTGGAAAGTGGTGTACACGTGGTGGTCGGGACGCCTGGACGTGTTAACGATATGATTAATTGTGAAAACCTGCAAACTGATTCAATCAAAATGTTTGCTTTGGATGAAGCTGACGAAATGCTTTCATGATGTTTTAAAGATCAGATTTACGAGGTCTTCAAACGAATGCCTTAAGACGTACAGGTTGTCCTTTTCTCTGCAACCATGCCCGCGGATGTGCTTGACGATACACAATGCTTCATGAGAGATCCTATTCGTATCCTTGTGAAGAAGGAAGAGTTAACTCTTGAGGGAATTCGTCAATTTTATGTGAACGTCCAAAAAGACGAGTATAAATTCGACACACTCTGTGATCTCTACAACGTGATCAATATCACACAATCTGTGATTTTCTGCATTACAAGAAGAAGAGTTGAGCAGCTCAGCGGTCAGATGACAGCTCAAAAGTTCACGGTTTCTTGTCTTCATGGAGACATGGAGCAGATGGAGCGCAATGTCATTATGCGGGAGTTTCGTTCCGGGTCCTCTAGAGTGCTCATTACTACCGATCTTCTTGCTCGGGGTATTGATGTTCAACAGGTGTCACTTGTGATTAACTATGACCTTCCCTCAAATCGCGAGAATTATAATGAAACATCATAACAATGCAAAAAATGCAGTAAAAGCACTGAAAATTTCGAAAATAGTGATAACAACTTGCCATGTGTTATCATCGTAAACGACATCTTTCCATCCCTGCTATAAAGTATTATTTAGAGAGAGCGTGTGACTCCGATGAAGCGGGTGATACCGCCGAAATGTACATAAGCCACTGATGTACCAAAGCTGTGAACATTCTCACGGTGTTTACTGAAAGTGCATAGATTTTTTTCCATGACACGACTGAGCGATTGAGAATATAATAAACACAAAACACTAGTATTTAGTGTATGCAATGCATTCGCGGTGAGAAGAGGGATGCACTGTGACAAAATGCTCTGCACCTACTGCATTTCGTTCTCAACGGTTTAGTTAGCTTCATAGAACTTTTAAACTCCAGAA